ATAGATATTTTTGCTATACTTAATGCTAAGCGACTTGAAATTTATGAGACTACACAGGTTATTCAGACCTTCGTAATGCACATCAAACTTAATGATTGCTTCGAGAATATAGTATGAATTATTTGCATTGGTTAAATCGGAAGTACCATCTTTATTTGAATCTATCCAAAAATTGCAATCTTTAAACCTCACTCTGCCTCTGCGATGCGTAATAATGATACATACCGGGAAACTTACCGATCCCAGGAAGCATATCGACTAACTTACCGCTCTCCGGAAACTTATCGACTCTGGTAACTTACCGCTCTCCGGAAACTTATCGACTCTGGTAACTTACCGCTCTCCGGAAACTTATCGACTCTGATAACTTATCGATTCTCGAAAACTTATCGAGCTCCAAAAATTTAACTTACCCACTATTGATCAGTTGTTATTGTGTTATCCATTCTTACCGGCAAAGACTGACACATAGAAGTTCTAACATTGAACGGCAGTGTCGCTCTCTCATATTGACATTTGAACTTCCTAATTTGTCATGGACTCTCTGTGTAAAAATGTAACTGCTTCGCGAAAATCGTGAAAAATATAGCAGTGTCCACAAACAGGACACGTGTAATTCGTCTGTATATTAACAGTTTACGTATTTCTTTTAATTTTTGTCATAAGATCTAGTTTTATATATATATATATATATACAAAAGATTTGTAATGAAAAAAAAGGACCCAGCCGATCGCTGAAACATATTTTGGATACATCCTAAAAGAATTGTGACGGCAAATATCAACAATGTTCTATGAGTAACACTTACTGTTTGACTATTTTGAATCAAATATATTTGAAATTTGTTTCTTTAATTTAGCTATAGTATGATATAAACACATGTACATGAAATAAAATTAAAAAAAAAAAGTAACAATATAAATCCTTATTACTGTTTTGTTCATTCCACAATTTCTTTTTATATGATTTATGATGGCGTCAATGATGCTTTATTTTGGTTTAAAATTCGGAAAAAAAAACTATCAACTCAAGACAACGCACCAACAATTCATACTGATGAAATTTCTGGGGTCCACAGTGCGACCGTGGTTTATATAACTCCTAGAACGTTCTACAAATAATTTGATAATACATTAACCCTTGAAATGTTACTGGTGCATCAACGATAACTGTTATTGTCAGTTTCATCATCTCTTACTCGGATTCTGCTGCTTGAAAATAAAAGGGGGGGGGTGGGGGGTTGCAACCTTTGCTTAGCTACTTGGGGAGCGCATACCATAAAAGCCTGTCTTCACTGGTAAGAGTTGGGGCAAGGTGCGTTGCCGCTTTGCGCCAGGAACGTTCTGTCTCAGGTTTCCCACTGTGCCGCCTTATGCATGTAAATATTCAAAAATAACGCGCCTAATTCGAAAAACGTCAATATTACTATGTCTAGGGAATGAAATATTATAATATTGATTATATAATTACAAGATATACAATTCATAATGATGTGTAATCTTTTCATTTCATTGCACACAGAACACTATATTTTGACCGTCCTGATAACACTACTTTTACCGTTGCGTGCGGGCACATTGTTAAGTCATCCGTCGTGTCTTTCAAATATTCGTCACGATTTACAACTCTTGCTAGCCTTAGGCTAATTAGTTTTCAGTTCATTTTAGGAAAAAAATATCTAATTTGGTGTGTCCTCAATTTCTAAAAGATCTCCGCCTATAGCCCTCCAAAAGGCAGTAACTATTTGCTCGGCTGCTCTGCGTTTTTCGTTTGTCGGCAAAGACGCCGCATGTTCTTTCATGGCCATCAGTTTGCTAAACAATTCTCCAAAGTCCGCATGCTCACCCATGATACCATCTAAAAGAAATTCAGTAAAATATATAATAGATACCTCTCAAGTCTCCCTTTCGTCATTTGTATTCGTCTACTGACCAAGCATATCTTGCATGCGTAGTCTCTCAGAAGGATCACAAGTTAATCGGATGTTTTCAAATAATTCTCTAATTTCATTTACGTCCGGTGCTTCTTCCACGCACAACGGTTTATCTGTAACAACACAATGTCAAATTACTATGGAAAGTAAAAGAAAATATTTCCCAAGCGTCTTAACAGCAATCTGATAATCTTGCACGCAACCTTTCAGTACAATGTTAGGCCATGTATGAGCATGTAGAGCTTCTACGATCCTTTCGATGCCATATTTATTACCCTCTACATCGGATTCTGAATCCTGGATTGTTTCCTGTTCCAATTCAACCAGCTCAAATTTATTCAATACACACCAATTCAACACTAGAAGATATGAAAAAAATTAATCTTTTTTTATTAATTAGACCTTATATCACAATTTATATATTTATTTATATCATTAATCTAAAGATAACCGATGATCCTTGTAATTATCGAAAAGAATATAGTATTTATAACAAATTGAGTCAATTTACATCAGGTTTTACGCGGATATATAAATATATATTTGAAGAGTGTTTCAATCGATGAAATGAATATTAACAATTCTCGAGAATCATGCCCTGACTTCCCCCCCCCCCCCCCNATAATCAACTCTACATTTCCGCATGTTTCTCTAATTTGAATACTTAACTACCCTCTTTCATTGTTACGATTAAAACTAGATATGTAAAGAAAAAAAGGTTAATTGTTCAAAGTTAAAATGATGACATCTTCTGTCTGTATCGAATTAGCCTGCCTATTTTTTCACCACCAAGATTAGATCAACCTCTCAGATAAGCTATTAGAATGATAAGAACTGTTAAAAGTTGATTGAGAAACATACACAGCAGTTTCTAAGTGTTTAACAATGTAATTTCTATTGATACCTTTATCCCTTAAAATCATATCAGATATTGCACTGCAGGTAAATAAAAGTACTTCTGCTGAGCTTGACTGAATGATCCAAGATGTCAAGTGCTCTAGTTCTTCTTCAACTTTCTCCTACACACACAGATCTTGATATCAATGGCTATCGAAATATAATTGTTTAATTTCCTAAAGCAAGTTTGCATGCTTTACCGCCTGTGGATCATGGTAGACAATCAATGCGGTTACTCCTTCCATTGGTGGTAGCTTGGTAGATAGCTTTCCTATAATACACACTAAAACCTGTGATGTGTAATATTTGTTATCAATGTTCCATAAATAATCCACAGTATCATCTCGCTCTGACAAGCGTTCTGCACCTATATCTACATCGAAGACATATAATGTAAAATTACAAGTGATAGAATCAACATGGAAACACTATCAACTTGTTCCAACTATACTATTCGAAAGAGTCATTGAACAAGAAATAATCGACAAAAAACTTATGCAAAAAATCTGCTTGTACACGACGTTACATTCGCAATTATGATTTATAATAATTTCAAACTCACTTTCTGCAATTTCTGCTCCTTTCCCTTCTTTCGTACTAGCGATCAAAATTCTAGGTAAACTCATTGCAACAAAAAGTTGATTATGCAGGAAAAAATTGTTGATAAAATTTTACTAAATTGCGATTAATATACGTGAATATTCAAATTACGTCAACCACAGTTGAAAGTTGGGTTATATTAGTCTCTCTCTCTCTCTTTCTCTTTCAATACAAGCGACCTTAAGGAGTACCCCCAACATCACTGAACGTCAGTCGATTCTCGTTGGATGCGATATAGAGATGATGTAAGGTCGATGAATCGATATTTTGGTTTTTTTCTTATACACACTGCAGCGGGATTCATCTACCGACAACTGTCGGCTAAGGAATATGTTGTTGCGCGTATATATGGCTCAAATGCTGCGATCCGATAATTATCGGTAGCCGGTTAAACGCTACTGGTCCGTATTTTGAACTCTTTTATCGATAAAAGTGCCTTAAATATGACTTCTCATTGAGTGGAATCGTTTTCAGAAGTATTTTTAAGGAGAATTCACATCTTGGCGGAATAGCTAAAAGCAGAAAAATAACAGCCGATGGACGATAATGAACGAGCGCCTCGATCGAAATGTTAAAAATATATTGTTTCACATCTAAACAAAAGTCTTATATATAATTAAAACATAACGTGCGAAAGAAATTAGAAATTTCTATTCATATAGTTTCAATGCCAAATTTAATTACTCACCTTAAACATCTTGCACTACTAAACTCTCTTCAAATTAAGGAATCAAGCGTCGGTGGTTCTCGCTCATTACAGCTTTATATCATCCTTGTGATATTCTCTGACATTTTTTAGTCCGGATCTACAATAGGTGTAGTAAGCTTTAAGAAGTCGACCGATTATAATCAAGAAGAATAATCCGCCATATAGGTGATTTGCTAATATAAAATTTTCTAACTAGTGGTCTAACCAGCGGAAAGACTCTAGGCATCGACCGATATGAGTGGATATGTGCTATCGCATCGTGCAGAACCTACGAAAGTCTTTTTTCTTCAGCCAATTATTTTAAATTGAAATATTTTCTCACCGTTCTGTGTTTATTGGAATTGAACATTATAAAACTCCATTCATTATGATTCAATGGTGGGTCACGTAATCATAAAAATAACAGACACAATGAACGACGTAAAACTTCATATTCAACATATATGCATTCGATATGATATTACCAGCTCTTTCAGCCGGATGAAACGGTTGAACGCTAAAATCGACAATTGAATGATTTAGCCGAGAAAATGAAGGAGAAGAGACCATTTGCCGGGCAAGGGAGTCGGAAAGTCATTTTGCTGTACGCTAAGCCGCACGTTGTTCAAACTACTCAACAAACCAACATTAACTTGGGTTATTTTTCCGGCGTACCCTTCTGACTTGGCGCCTACAGATTATTCCGATGCATAGATTAGTCGATGCATACCAGCGGGACAGCGCTTTCGAGATGTGGTAGAAATAGAAAAATAGAGAAATAGATAAATTCATTGCTTCCGATATCTTTCTTTCGCGAAGGACGGATAGATGGCAGAAAGTTATACAAAATGAGGGAAAATATTTTGAAGATGGATTTGTAGTCATTGTATCATATGATGAACAAATAAAAAAAAATATTTGCATACACCTAATAATAATCTAATATTTCATTGCATGATGCAGCGCGCGAATATCATGTTTTTTTTACATCGAATTATATGTACGGATAGATATGATAACGGCGGATGTTTCGATAACTCTTTGTCAACGTCCTCCTGCTCTCTCGGGCCGCGGAATTGATATGTGGAATTCCGTTGGCCACTGACTACTGTTTTTATATAACGCGATTCTTCGCGTACAACGCGCCGACTTCTTCTGTTTCATTGTTGTTTTGTTTTTTGACGCGGTCACTCTTAATATAACGATATAATCATTTCAAACGTGTTACTTTAGATTATACGCGTTATGCAAGACAAAAACTCCCGTACAGCACGATTTCCTATAACGCGAATTCATACAGCGCGTAACGTATTAACAGCGCGTTATATGGGAATCTACTGTATCTGAGTAATCGAAAGGAATCGATTGTGCTCAATTCATCGATATGAATATTTTCAAAGAAAGTTTGGATTAGAGCGAACAAAATCTAATGTTTCTGCAGAAACACTGCTGTGTACACCCAGAAAACATCTTGCGCGTTGATATCCAGTAAATTATGCGCAAAGATTGTGTGCTAATCATTTGCGCGAGATTTGCGTAGCATAATAATGCGTAGCCTGTTAATTTGCGTGCACGACTGAACATATTTCACGAACAGAACGTAGACAGATTTCATACAAAGCTCGCAGATGTAACAAAATTTGCGCGCAAGAATTGCTATCTTCATCATTGATCCGCAGGATGAAAGATGCACCCCTCGGCCTTCGGCGTTATCGTTATGCTTGCTTATCATCACCAGCGTATCAACTAGCATGCATTCCAAGGTCTTTCCGCTAACACAGTAATATATAAAATCTTGCTGGCATACAAACACCATATAACGCCACAGTGTTAACGTACAGTGCAATTGAACGATTTGTTTCTTTCGGCGGCATATTTTTTTGCGAACATGAGGTGGTTCGCTCTTTTGTAAGTAACAGCGATTCTTTCAAAGCGTTATCATTTGTAGATAGATTGCCAATTTTTCCAACATTGCGTCTTTTTCTTAAAGATTAAGAAAAATGTATTATGTATGTATTACGGTAATTTTCTGTAAGAAGAAAAACCGACTTTCGTTTATAACTTAAAAGAATTTCAGCACAATTTCCGAGCAAGTTGCTCGATATTGATGTAATAACGCATTCTTCTTTTAAGCGTGTTTGTTGGCGTGCTTCAATCTGTTATTCCGTTGAAATATCCTTCGAATCTGGCATGGTTATTCGGTTTGAATGATGAAGTGAAAGGAAATAAGAAGGGAACTGTGTGTCTGACTGAAGAGTGCGAGAAAATTGGTAGGTAGATACGTTGAAGAGACTGTGATCCAACTATTGCAAATAAATTCGCGAATCTACGTGCAATGCACTCATTCATTCTTTCTCTCATTTCTTCGCCACAGCTAAGGTAATATTAGAAAGTATGGACAAATCTGTGAATCCGTGCGACGACTTTTACGAGTACGCGTGTGGAAAATGGTCAGAACATAATCCTGTTCCTGAAGGAAGTAGATCGTGGAGCTTATGGGAAATGCTTCAAAACAACGTCGATCGACAAATTGAAGGCACGAGTTGTAATGGAATCATATTTGCAATCGAAAAATTTTAATAATATTTATAATTGCAGATATTTTAAAAGAGGGACCCAAGGACAATGATCTTCTAGCGGTAAAGCTCGCGAAAAAATGGTACACAGCTTGTATGGATACCGGTACGGATGGTAGAATGCTCGATGAATAACTGTTCGCTTCGCTAGTGAGCGCTAATAATTCGTTAATGCGGCGACGACTTTCAGATGAGAGGGATAAGCGAGGACTCGATCCATTGGTTTCCACTCAATCGCGTATAGGCGGTTGGCCAATGATAATGGATCCGGACGAATGGGATGAACAGGAATATAGCTGGCAAAAAGTGGACGATCAATATATGCGTTTGATGGGAAGAAACGCTTTTCACGACGTATACGTATATGGTTTCAACGAGACAGTAGTAGTACATGTACTTGTCATCTTGCACATATATCTCGTCATATATCGGACCAAACATTTTATCTCACTCATTCGTTTTGCGCGATTATTATTTTTTTCTTCTTATTATACAAAGTATACATATATATATATATGTGTGTATATATATATATATATATATATATGTGTGTGTATGTATATATATATGTGTATATATATATATATGTGTGTGTGTGTTATATTAGGTCGATACTCCGCATTTACCTCCGGGTGCATATATACTGTGGTCTGGAAAGACGTATGATAGTGACGAGGTAGATGATGATGATGATGATCCGAGTGACGAAGATCGAAGCGATGAGGAGAAACAAAGCCACGAGGACAGCCAGGAACCTGGAAACGAAGCGAGTAGAAATGACGACGACAATAAAGACGACAACGATACAAACGAACAAGCCGACGAAGCCAAGAAGAAGAAGAAGAAGACAAAATCTACTGACAAATTGCACCACAGGAAAAATAAAATATACAGCGGAAGGAAAGGAAGCAACAAGATTATCAACAAACATAAGGATGCCGGAAACAAAAAACTTGAAAAACGAGCGATAACGATGAAAGTTGATGAGCAACGAATTCGTCACAGTAAGTTGAACAGGCGAAAAAACACGAGGAAGGCCTTGGAAAAGACGTCATCGACACCGCAGTTTACTACGGAAGAGACGAATGATGATGATGGCATGATGATGACACGGCAGCAATACGCTGATTATATTTCGAAAGTTGCTTACGCTATAGCTAAAGAGAGAGGCATGAAAGTCTCGGAGAGGTATATCGATGCAGATATCGAAGACATGATCGAGTTCCAATTGAAGCTAACCGAGGTGATCGAAATTAACGCTCGCTTTAAATATATCACAAATGGTCTTTTTCAATATACGTTTTTCCCTCTCACAGATTGTTATGGAGTCTGGCGAAGACTTGGAGTTGACACTCGATGATTTTCAAGAATGGTACGACAAAAAGAAATCTACGACTGACCGCAGTAAAGTGAGTTATTTCCACATGTCCTCTCCATTTGATTGGTTATAATGAATAATTAATTAATTATCCCGGGGGAACTATGTAGATTGATTGGGTACACAAAATCACGGAATTGTTCGACGAGGCTAATGTAGCCGTGGATGGCTACTTAGATGTAGAGGTTGGTTCACCGGATTATTTTGAGGCTCTTGTGTCTTTGCTGGACGAGACATCGAGTCGAACAATCGGTAAGTTTCATTAAAAATGACGGGGCCTCTGCTACATGATGTGTGTTTCAGTGAATTATATACATTGGAATTTTCTAAGTAAAATTATCAAGACCACCACTAGTGAAATGAGAGAACTGTACGATGCATGGGAAGAAGTTCATGACGAAGAAAGAGAGCCAAGGTTTCACATTTTATACGTCGATAATATATTTGCTTGTATTTGTAGTTTATTGATTGCTATCGCTGGCGATAAGGAACATCGTATGAAGATGTTTCTCAGCATGATGTTGTCGCACATCTATGAATCAAAGACACGTACCTTTTTTTGTAGATTTCATTTTATGCGTTTACGCGTAGGTTGAAACAGTGTAAATTTGATTGAAATTTAACTATAAAAGAATCTCTTCGCGCGCACGAAGGGTCCAATCAGACAGCACATGTAAGAAAAAAAAAAGCGTGTCTTTTATTTGCAATTGCTCTACATCATACCGCGAAAAATCAATAAGAGTCATTATGTGTCTGTGTTCTTGAGAGTCTATTAATACCGCAAGTACGAATTGTTGATCACGACCAATTTTATAATAAATCCTCCCTATAGAAGCTCCATAATATTCCTAGAATATTATATGAATATTATTAAAATAATATTTCTCTAATATTCTAAGAATGTTATATAATATTTCTTTTAGTATTATAGGAATGCTTTATTAATGTTATATGTCCACTTCACATAATAGTCTTGGCATATTATAAAAATGTTCTTAAAATATTAAAAAGAGAATAAAATAACAATAATATAGAAAAATATATACATCAATAATATATACATAGAGTTGAATATATAATTAAATTTATATTACAATAATATTATTTTTTAAATATTATTAAAAGTGGACACATAACCATCTATTAATATTGTAGAAATATTACTTAATATTAAATAATATTATTACGCGGCTGCCGACAGATCGTCCGAGTGCATAAGGGAGGTAGAGATGAGTGACATTCTTGCGTACGAGTATGTGAGAAAACATTTTTCAGATGATATCACAAAAACTGTAAGCGTTTTGTATATATATTTCTCGATCGTATTAATTCTAATCTGAGAGAGAGAGAGAGAAAGACAAAACTATGAAAAAGATAAATTTATTAACGCGGATTTTTTATACGGATATTATCCATCAACTATATTATTTAGTAGATAACTCTTTGCATTCTCTTCGATTGCCCACTGTTTTTGTTACAGGCAATGGATATGATCGATGATATACAGAAGGAAGTGGAGTATTTGATTAAAGAATCAGATTGGATGGACGACGATACTAAAGATTTTGTTTTAGTGAAACTAGTAAACATGGATAAATTGGTTGGATATCCAGATTGGTACAGGAATACCACCATCGTGAAGCGATATTTTCAAGGAGTAAGTCAGCGTAAAAATGATTAATAATTGCGCTATGCGCCAGGACTGTTTTGTTGAAATATTTTGTTCCGTTCAAGCTCATCATTGGCAAATCGTACTATGAGAATACACTCAGCTACCTTAGGTACTATAAATGGAACAGTCTACGAATGTTGACGCAAGATGATGAGGATCTCGATGCGTAAGATCATAATTTTACAAGTTCTTTAGAGAAATGGCAGCTTTCCTTTTTCTCAATTTACAAACTGGATATCCTTTTACCAATAATAAATCTGAGTGTGTACATACAAACAGATGGTGGATCAGCCCAGTAACGCTGAATGCTCTATTCGACCCTGAAGGAAATTCGATAGGTATGTGAACGCGTATAATATATCACTCAATACACAATTCTAATAACATTAATTTCTGCTTTGGACAACAGCTATCACGGCGGCGGATTTTCAAAGCCCATTTTTCGCTTATGGCCGACCCCAGTAAGTCTGTACAAATGTTCATCAGCGATATTTGCGTAGCAACGCATTGATTATCATTACATTGCATCGTCTTCTCGAGATGTATCCGATACTATAATTTTTACATGATTTTTAATATAATTTTCTCTTCCTGCGAAACTATATAACTCTGTTGCATTTTAGAACTATTAATTTTGGTATTATTGGATTCATTATGGCCCACGAAGTCAACCACGGATTTGATGACACTGGTAACACTCTCATACATACAATACTGTGATATCCCCGTGTGTTTGCGATAATACAGATATGATTTTGTTATCTTGAGCGTTAAATATATTCCAAAACGGTGAAATCAACTCAATTAAAATGTACAGAGAAAGTTGAATAATTTTTAGGGCACCTGTATGATAAGAATGGCAACTTTATGGAATGGCTATCTACAATGGCTGATGCGTACGGCAAAAGAGCGGAATGTTTTGTGGAACAATTTAATAATTATCCTATCGACAAAATATCGAACAAGAAATTAAAGGTATGCCTTTCAATTAATGTGACTTTTATTGTAGTTTGTTTGCCACACGACGAATTATCGATAAACTATATTGTAGAACTATGGTAACCAAACGGCGGGTGAGAATATCGCGGACACGATGGGATTACAAGCTGTGTTTAGAGCTTATCAAAGAAGAGAAAGGGAATGTGGAAAACCGGATGCGGTATTGCCAGGTCTGGAAGGATTCACCAACGATCAACTTTTCTTCTTATCCTTTGGCAATGTAAGTGGCAACATTACGAGTATATGTGTGAATTAACGACTTACATTAATGGTACGCTTAGTACTGACTAGCAGTTGATTCATTGTCAAATGTCAAAACCACTCGTATAACAATTGCGATATTTGTGGTCAGTTGTGGTGCGAAGCAACCGATTCAACGACTGCAATGCGAGATGCCAGGATGGATTCACACAGCACCGGGCGATTAAGAGTGATAGGGTCTGTTTCCAACTCGGAGAACTTTGCCAAAGCTTACAACTGTCCAGTCGGCAGCGCGATGAATCCCGAGAAGAAGTGCAATATCTGGAAGTGATTCGAATAATGGTTGATCTCGTCTCGTCAAATGCGTTGAAATGTTTCGGGAAAATTATTTACGAAGAGAGACAATAATGAAGAAACGCGCGCAACATACAAGGAGTAGTCTGTTTTTCCATTGAAAATTCTCCCACTGACTCATATCGATTGACAGACACATCATTGAAGGTTCAGCGACGTGACTCCCGACGTGTTTTCTGACGAAAGATATTTATTTCAACACAGTTATGCAACGAGTTGATAAACGAGAGAAGATAAAGAAGAAAGTATATTGCGAAACCTCAATTATTTTTATACCGATAAGTTACAATATTTCGTACATAATCTTGTTGTAAGCCACAATTTTTGTTACAGAGGACTATACTCGAATGTATCGAGTAATGATATGTTTGTATCGGCAGAGGATCCTTATATCCTATTGTAACAATCGTAACGCGCGTAGTGTATTCTAACGCGAAAGCCAATCGTCGCGTTCGTTTTGTCGAGATATCATAAATGTGTACAAGCGAAATATATGCTTTTCTTCTTGCTTGCGATATCGACATATCGAACTTCATTGTATTCAGCCGAAATCGGGAAGAAAGTTTCTTCCACATAATAAAAGTTCGAACGATGCACACGTTACTCGGGCGCTTCCTGCGTCGCGCCCAACACGTTCACAAACTCGGGAATCTGATACATATTTTGAGTGTGATACCGACACTTGCTCCCGACAAAAATTATTGTCATCCGTTCTGTTTTTCGTACACGCCGTTTTGCTTCTCCTGCGGTTTTAACGGCTTTAATATTTCTATCTCGTTCATTTGATCGATATCCAACTGTTTCTTCTTCTTCTTCCTCTTGGATGGTTTCCTGAAAGGATTTTCCCGATAATTATTCAATTCATCCCTAGAAAGAGAGAGAGTGAGAAAGAGAGGAGGAGGAGAACAAATAAGAAAGAATTGAAAGAGACGTACTTTCCAAATAATTCGCCATCCTGAATTGACTCGGGAAGTTTTTTATTCAGTGTCTCCGGGAGAAGAAGAGACATTAATCCGCCGAATAAGGCGCAGGATCCGAAAATAACGAGCGGCAATGGTGTCCATATCTCCGACTGAAATGTCGTGATGAGTTTTGTACAATTCGGCCACTTTCCCTGCTGTGGATGGATTTTCTCCGCCCAGCGAGAAATGTAGCAGGACGTTGCATCGATATGCCAGATTGAAGCACGTGTGAAAGAGCGCGCTCTCATACGTGCAGCGCGGCAATCGGAGAATATTGTTCAATATGCAATATACATCGATTCAGTGATGAACCGTTTCTCGCTAGGTGAATCGGTCGAAATAACAAGTTAAGAAAAAAAGAAAACGTACCAGGTGATTGACGTACGGTGCGACAACGCCGCCGATTCGAGCAAAAGTGGAGCTCGCGCCGAGTCCAACATTTCGAATAACAGTCGGAAATTGTTCAGCAGTAAATACATAAATTGCACCATAAGACGACGTGATGGCCAGTTTCCCAATCATCGCTAAACACACGATCAACCATGGCATATCTGAAATGAATTTTTGTCAAACGATAATATATTGCAATATGCAACAATATATGCGAAATAGCCGTGCAATCTATATTCTTATGTTAATATGAGATGATATCAAACTGCTGTACTCTAATAATAGGGAAAATTGTATAAGCTCACCGGTAGGAACGAATAACGTAGCGAGCAAGGCTAATCCAGACAACAACATACAGCCGCAAAGAATAATTTTCCTACCCCATCGATTCAGGGTGAAGATTAGAAATGTATACGCCGGTACCTCCACTACTCCGGATATTACAAAATTAACATAGTCATTGCCGCCGAGGTTGGATGCGTGCCAAGACAGTCCGTAGTACGTGCCGCTGTTGACAAGCCTGCACGCGCAAACGAGGAGAAATATCGGGGAAAATTCGATGTAAAATGTTAATAGAGAAAAGAAAGAAAGACTAACCAGTTGAAAAACAGAAGAATGCTCTTCCGTCTCAAGTTTGGATAGCGGAACAAGTCGAAGAGCGAGGGCTCTCTCGAGTCGGGTGTACTGTCCTCGCTGTTATTATTAAGAAGCGTATCCAAAGCGTCGCTCGGCATCTCCACGCCATTTTCCAATGAAGCACGTTGCAGCAAATCCTTCGCTTCCTGCAGACGACCTTTCGTTAAGAGCCATCGCGCGGATTCAGGAATGAACCTGCGGCGTTTCATAATTTATAACTTCGACTATCGCGCGGATTTTCAGTGTTCACGAGAATAATACATTTATTGCCGTACCACCAATAAAGTAGAAACGCGATGCTGGGTACCGTAATGGCTACTTGTAACATTCTCCAGTCGGTAATGAAATATGCAAAACCAGCGGTAAGTATGTATCCAGTAGTGAAAAACAACTGGCAGCCAACTCCGGCTACTAGCCGCTTTTTCGGCCCAACCATTTCCAAAGCTGCAAAATATTGAGAAAATAATTAATGCGCTACACACACGTGTGTCAATTCACGTGTGACTAATAATTCAAGTTGTTCATCTGACAACAAAGTAAACTCGCCGCGACTTACCTATAACGTAAGCTACCAAAAACACCCCACTGGTGGTTGAGCCGACAATCAGCCTGAAGATAACGTAGGAAATAAACTCGGGAGCGACAGCAACTAGTATACCGCCTACCAGCTGTATGACTAAAGACAGGAAGAAAATTGGTCTACGACCATATCTATCGGACAAACCGCCGAATATCATCGAGCCAAGCATGACTCCTACCATGAACAACGAGTCCCCCGTCGCTCTCAGCCACGCCTTGTCACAGACCAAGTCCCACTGCGGAAGGAAAAAGAAAGAATTAATATTCAACCTCAAATTGTTTCAAATTTATCGATACCGTGTGCGAAATATCACTTCTCTCTTGTCTCTTCTTTACGCAACATAATTGCCCAACGATACAAAATGTAGGTTTACAACAGTTATTCATCAATAAAATTCCTCCGTACCTCGGAAGTGGTTGTACTTTTGTATATGCTTCGGTCATACACATATTGCTTGCAACGGCTGATTCCTCCCCATTCGATCGTATTGTTCGGCCGTGGGAGATCCAAGTCACGACTCAGACATTGGGACCACCCTTTGAGTTCATAATCCCACGGGTAACTTGCATTCAGTACATCCTGATTCAGGAAGAACGTGGCGTTCTCTGCGTATTCGTGCGGAAGTAAACACCTGGCGCGACAAATCTTTCCTTATTATATCGCAATTTATCGGATCAAATTATTATCATTTGCTTCCGTGGATACCTGGAATCCATCTTGGCTCCGAGGAATACACCGGCTAGTTTGTGAAAGGCGCACGATATCGCTGGAAGACAGAGTAAAAGATAGACTCTGCGTTGGTAACGACCAAATTCGCCCATGCGAAGGATAACATCGTCATACGCCATTTTACTGTTTAAGCGCAATACGTGTATTCTTCTTTCTTCAGACGAGCCACAACAAGCTACTTTGTACAAACAAACGGTTTTAAATGGCGCGCGCGCGCGCGCGCGCTTTGACACTACCTACGGAACGAACGATCTAGCGATGCGATTGCTCCGACATTGTCGATTCTGTTAGCACACAGAGATTTGTTCATTCCGGAGAAGAAGCATGATAGTTTGGTTCGCGGTTCACTGTTCGAGAATGGTACACTCGGGATTTACACGCAACGACGCGCTTCTTAACGTCTAGCTCAACTATTCGCTGCAGTCCCCGCGATAATGATGATGATGATGACAGGCGATCGAAGGTCAGACTTCTAAATGCACTTGGTGTCCCGATGGATCGGGTTCATCGACGGAATAATGCGTATGATTACTGAAAAATTAACAATGCCATTATCACTATTTATTGTAATAATTCCTCTCTCTCTCTCTCTCTCTCTCTCTCCTCTGTTCTATTTCTTCCTTCTTTTACCTCCACGAGAGATTAAGGCGAGGCATTACGAAAGAATGGTCTTGAATTATCGAATCTTGACAACTGGATATATACATATGTATACGTAATGTAAGTTTTTCTTTGGGGAAACATTAAGAATACTCAAATTAAATATTTCTCCACACCACTTGTGAGATACGTATATGATTTTAATTATGTCCTTAACAAAATACCTGAAGACTGCTAATTTATTGTTTGTTATTCTATAATAATCGAATATACATACGCTTGAAATAGCGATGTTTACAATGATGCATACATAATGCGTAATAACGACGTATGAAAAAAAAAAAAGGAGAAAGAGAGAGGTGTTTGGCAAGTTGTAAAGTCAAATATAACGACTACAAACGCATGCATTGCGGCTGGCTGTGTGTGTGTGTGTGTGTGTATGTATATCACTTTTAGGTAATCGTACGGCAGTTCGCTCGGATTAATTAAAATCAAATACGAACAAACGACCCAATCGTGATTGATACAATTGATACAATTGCTCTTTACTGGGAGTCAGGAGAAAAAAAACGCAAGCGAATAATATCGACGATTATATTGATCAGTATTATGTATCAGCATTTTCTCGATCATTATTATGTATCAGCACATTTCTCCAATACAATTCGTATTAAAAGTCTCCATATATCTTCCGTAAAATAATATTTACAAATACGATTTTGGATCTTTATCTGTTTTATTTTTGAGCGTCGTTTGATCATGGCATTTCCTTGCAGATATATATACGTTAACTAGTAATGGACATACATATTGAGATACGATATAATAATATAATTGATTAATGTTTGACTAATTTAGAGAGAGAGAGAGAGAGAGAGAAAATTAAATTGATTTTCTATATAAAGAAATAATATATACGTCGTAAAAATTTTCCAACGTTGTTTCATTAAATTATTCAAATAATATAAATGCTTTTAACGTTTTAAACTTTTTGAACATTTAATTTCGCACAATGAAACATTCATATCTCTAACGATTTTGGATAAAATTGCAACATCATTAATAGTGCCTACAGAGTCGTCTGTATCGTTATTATCGAAATATACATTTATGTTGTTAATATGAGGCTAATCGCAGAATCGATTATATATATATATATGCATAGTACGAATGTTACAATACTTGAAAATGTGAGTAGTTTGATGAAATGCAAACGGTAAAATGAACGGTACGACACACGGAGTTACACAGTTATCGATCGAACACAATCCTACGCGCACAAAGGACGGACTGGAACTGGCCACATGCTTTAACCGGCGCGCGGCTATAGTGCAGCGCGGTGCGGTGCGGAGTGGTGCGGCGCGGCGCGGTGCGACTCGTTTCAGTACGGTGCATCTTGCATCTCTCGGAGAGAGATGGTTGATTTTTTCTTCCTCCACTCTTAATCCTTCTTCATTCGATAGAGGTAGCTCAAAACAAACGGCTTGTCAAAATTACACAAATACATATAGTGTATGTGACACATCCTCTCGTTATTACAAATGCGATGATGAAAATGACAAAATGACTCACTTTGAATATAGTTTTGATTCGTTGAGCGCGCGCACACACATAAAACAAGATTATTCGTTTTAACACAGACTTATGATTCACCATTACACCATATGCTGCGATATTCATTATAAGCTACAACTTCGCTACTATTCCATGTTGCCTGTGTCACACTCTATGTAGCTAATGAGCACGTATTGAATAAAAATCACCTAAATAAACTTGTTTGCATCCCCGGAACTGTTCCCCCGTCACTTTTAGTTATGATGATTTTAAATCAATCGTGATGTTACACGTGTTCGTCTCGTATGACCCGTACAAAGATCTTCTGTTTTGGACAATACAAGATAAGATGATGTTGTAAATTGTAGGAGGATAAAGCAAGGAAACAGCCAATAAACCATTACGCTTTGTTTAACGCGCTTTTTACACCATATCACCGCGTCCTTCAGGTTTGCAAGCACTGCGTATCCGCAATTTGAAACTTGGCTACATTATTATCTCTCTCGTCATCGATATCATACGATTTTTCCTTACACGTGGCATTTGTCTTGCACACGCAGCCTTCGCAGAATAAAATGGAGAGCTATATGAGTCGATAATTTATTACAAATCACGTAAATGAAATACGATTAACATTGAACTATGAGTATATTGTAGATAAAATAGAACATCTTATCTGAACGAGTAGAGTGGGTAGTTCTTCCTTAAACAGATTGCGTTATCACTTGATGTACACAGTGACGTAATCTCTGTTGCATATTATTCACAAATTGCATACATTAATCGGGTTTCTCGTTTCAAGTTCTCGTCAAGCTCGATAAAGTTCAAGTCTCTCTCTTTTGTCTCATCATGATAACGATATATAATTCGTTCAAATATTTATAACAGACGACACGGTTGCATTTGTACTACCATTATTTCCAATTATTATATTACAAAATTTAATAAGTTGGAGAATTTTGAATGCGTAACGTTTTCCCCCAGCTACTCTACGTACGCCAAGATCACGCCTTGTACTTTCGCTAAAAGCCGATGATCGGTCGTAACACAGAGCTTTTTTTTTCTTTTCGTCTCGTAAAAATACCAACGCGAGTCGTTCTGCGACGTCGTACCGCTTGATGCAATTCTACCCGTCTTCCTCTACTACGTAGTCTCCTTCATTATGTCCTCCTTACCTGTATTATCCTCATTCATGTACTCTGATTATTATCCTTCTATATATTTTTGCGTGTATTCATTTGTCGTATGATACAATTTTAGCTATGAACCTTATATTGGCTCGACATTGGCCAATACTATTTTGGCCAATAAAATGTGCTACTAGGGAAGAGACGAGTGAATTTACTCACGAAAGATAAAAATGTTGAACATATTATTTTGGGACACTATTGTCTAGATCGTCGTGTCGCTGACTATGTTACCGCTGCTGCCACAGTCGTCACCATACCATCACCATACCACCACCACCATTGCCAACGCCAGTCGCCGCAGTCACTTCGTTGCCTCTCTTCCCCTGGCTGCTGTTGCCATAGCTTTTGCCGTTGCTACCGCTGCCGTCGCCGCCTCCTCGAAGGCCGATATCGTGCGGCCCAAGAGTAAACCCGAAAGCTATTTATAGTAGGGAGCGGTTTCTAGTTCCTATCGCAAGAAAAATCGCAACTGGTTTCTCGCAAGTGCGAATGGAAGGAAGGAAGTAAGAAAGAAAGAACGGAGGAGGGTGCATTCTTCGAGGAAAGTGGCAGGGAGAAGATAAAACACGGATGACAGCGAACGCGTCGTTGCTCCCCACTTCTCTCTTTCTCTCTTTCTCCGTCTGCTCCGACATGCCGAATTAAACCACGAGCCGGGACGCCAACCACAAGAGCCGGGTCAAGCCGTCCGCAAATTCCCAAACTCTCTTTCACGGCATTTTTCTAGAAGAACGACTCATACCTCTTTTACCACATTTATTTTACTCTTGTTCCTTTACCGATGTTTTTCATTACTAAGCAATTAATACATAATTTTATGATATTTCTGCCAAACGACTGTGTTGCTTTGTTCTTGATGAAAATCCACACCATAACTATATACATAACATATATTCTGTTTTCGGTGTGGCACAAAGTTTACCGTAAGGGAATCAATTAATATATAGGTACTTGAGATAGCGAGTTTTTAACAAATATCAAGATCAACCATTGACACAAAAACGGCTAGCATAGTCTCTAGAGCGAACAGTTTGCCTCCATAATGGGGAATGGAGAGAATACACGTGATGAACGCTTAAAAATGTTAAAAAGGTTGCTGTCCTTGCAAGGGCGCCACGCTGTGTCGTGTGTCGCCACACGCTTCGCCGCACCATTCTTCGCCTCACCTCTCGCCTCCTCCTCCTCGCGCATACACACACACACACATATACACGCCTTGTCGCCCGTCTAGCTACAAGGATACGAGAGGAGACATTCATCTCCGTGTAGCCTTTGGTTTCGCTTCGCTCGAACATTACACTACTTGGAATTGATGTGAACAATGGAATGGAAATGGCGAATTTTGTATAAAAATTTAAAATAATTGAGAGAAAACGTATAAAAACGCGTCGTTTTTTCTTTTCGAATCTCATTTTCGATAATATCTTTTTGCCACGAAAGCTACCAAAATTCCGTCAATAACTATTTTTCAATGAGATTTTACGTACATACTTATAAACTGGTTTCTCCTATTAAGGTTATTGCGAAGTCGCCGCTAATTTGCAAACAAACGATGCATTCCGCCACGTCGCTGCGCAACGTGGCGCTTCGTAAGCGCTTCTTACGTAAGAAATAAAACTGCGCATTATGGGGATTTAAGGTCAGAAAATACCATGCGAATGCGCTCCTTACAGTTTTATTTGAACGTCTCGCTGTTGTCTGAGCGTGAAAAAATGAACAACCGAACATATTAATTATTTAATATATTAATTATTTAATATGAGAATAGACAATAAGAGAGATCACATTATGTGTCGATATTACATGAAACTTCCAAAACGTTTCCAACATGCTACAGTAACGTACATTTATGCATTACGTTATCGAGTCGTTTATTCCGGCTTATTTACCGCAAATTTTGTAGTTGTTATACTGTTTGCGTAATAAGAAACGGCAACCTTGAAATTGGATTCGACGGTGTACACGATAAAGCATAAGTTGACTTATATCGAAATAGCGCTAATGCAGTATCAAATCTACCGGTTGTCTTTTCATCATAACGTTAATGTTAATGAATTTACATTACTTTCTCTCTCTCTCTCTCTCTCTAATTGAAAACAATTGAAACATTCTTTCTCAGCTCGTTCTCAGTTACTTGGAAAGAAGCAGAGAATAGTACATGTTTGCGCGACATTTCCACTAAATTCGCACAACGCGCGATATGAGGCGCGCAATGCCAATGACCCACATCAACTCGAGAAATATGATGATGATGTAATTACCCGCTCGAATGTTCCCACGATCGATTGCGTGAATCTGTTAGAGCGGCGTGATTTTATCGGCAGCGCTGAACGTTAGTTGCTTTCCATATTGTACGCGTGACCCAGCGCGCGATACACACCGGCCGGCTGGTCGGCACTGCTGATCGATAACCTTCGCGGAAGGAAACGACGCGCAATGCAACGGTATACACTCGGCACGCCTAAAATTTTCGATCAACTCGCGCATCCACCTTCCTCTGTCATCGGAATGCGAATTTTTGTACTAACGTGCATCGCACGATACAGAGGAAACACGTGTACACACGGAAAGGAAAAATTCGTGCTGATGCGCTGGGGTTCGCGCGATACCCAGAGCCGGCGCTGTAACCGGAACCGGAGCTGACGCCGACGTCGACGTCGACGCCGACGCAGGAGCCGAAGCCGAATTCCCCCGGAGCCGAAGCCGAATCTCCGGAGCCGAAGCCAAAGTCGAGAACGTAGTGCCGCGTGTTTTCCACCGGACGACAGTTCATAGGATTATCGCGCACGATATCATATCGTATCATTTTTCAATTTTACGTTATTTTCTTTCGCGTCACCACGATAACACTTGTCGAGCTTGTTTTCATTAGGTAGGATACAGTTGTTTCAAACATTACAATCTCGTGCGTCTTTCATGCATTTCGGCCCGCTTGTTGACGCGCCAACAATTTGTTAATAGTTTTAAATAGGAATTTTTTTTATAAACATACGTAATTTTTCCTAGCGGAACACTAACGTAATCATCGCGTTTAGAATAGAAGCGATACTGTTTCGTTTGTTAACATCATTGTATTTTGCTCTAGATAGGTCTGCTATTCTGAGTTTCATCAAGGTTGTGCAAAAATTATTTCAACACTCTATTTATTAATTTGTACAACGTGATAACCGTGTAATTGGTGTGCGTATTTTGACCAAGAGGAGAAATTAATAAACGACTAACCAATGGTGTTTTGAAAGAATTTATGATTACTGGCATATAACTGTACATTAAACCCGAGTCAATAATCGAAAGCAACATTTAATTAGGCCGACGTAATCTTTTATAAACTGCTACTCGTATTCTACAAACGTATTTTATAAACTGCTATTCACATTCATTTTTCTACGTAAAGAGAGAGAGAGAGAGAAAGAGAGAGAGAAAGAGAAGAAGGGAAAATGGGGAATCTATTAATTTTGCATATGAATTTATTTACGTCAGTTTGCAATAGCAAAAACCAAAAAGTCATCTCTTTATAATTTCTCATTCGATATAGATTGCAATAATTTAACTAAAGAGATTATTCAAGCTATACAAGCAAATATTGTTCCATAAAAAATGATAGTTCTATCTATTTATCGACAAACGCGGATTATCACTAATTTGCTATTGCATGCTTCGACTGCACACACGCGTGAGAGCGTCTCGGTTACAAATTGATATCCGATCTTAATTAGTGTGTGATACCTGTTTCAATAGATGAGCAACCTTTAATATCAAAGAGATGGCGAAGTTGACGAAGCGGGGCGCTATCACACCGAGTACTACACACACTCGTTCGAAAACCCAGTGTTTAATGACGAGTGCAGTTATCGCGCATTTCGTTTATATTAAATCTCGCTGCGTTGTCGAGTTTATTAAAAGAAAAAAAATGGATTTTAAGATTGAGTTTTGCCGAATGTGCACTTATCGATTCGATGGTACTTCGTTTCATTGGGCTCGTTAAACATTATGATAACAAGAGTTATCCTTGTGAACGAAAAAATTAGAAGAGGGCAGGAGAGGAAAGGAAGAAGGAAAAGAGAAGGAAAAAGGAGAATCCCTCCATTGGTAAGTGAATAACACGATAATTGCACTAATAATTTTCCTAAAAACTTTTAAAATTCCGACTTGGTTCGCGTAAACGTTCGCGCGGACTTAACTGCTGACGATCCGCAGCTTTGCAATTCCTGACTCGCATATGCACGAACGCACATGTACGTACATGCGGACATCCATCATCAAGGACGCGTGAGCCACGGACACTTATAATTCGATACAATTCGTACTAAACTACTACTCACCACAGCAATTCAAATTCAAGAGTAAAACCTATTTCTTTATACGTTTGATTACTTTTTCTCTTTGATATTTCAATCAACATTTCGACTATATTAAATTATGCTGATTCACAAATAAACGTAATAATTGAAACATTCATCTTTAGTCGAGTTATGGACGCGCGCAATTCAACTAAAGATGAATGTTTTAATACACACATATATTGCTTATACATTATGTATTTTACACGTAACAACAATTATTAAGTAGTTTTGCCCACATTTACCGTGGATTAATTAAAAAATGTTTATCAAGTTTATATATATAAACTTGAATTATATAGCCTACAGGCCTTGAGAGCGGCCCAATAATTATTACACCTCTTTGATTATTTTATGAAATGATTCACACCAACTTATAATTTGTATTGACTCTCATTCTCGACGACAAAAGTTTGCGCTATCATTAATATTCATTATTATTCTTGATTCATTGTCGTTGAAACGTGCAACAAGGAACTGACGATCTTCGTGTCGGCCGATCATAGAATTGTTCTTAGAAGCGGGATATCGATTCTTGCCGAAGAGTTCCGAAAGCAGCCGAACTCGTCGCCAAAGTGACATAGAGTGTATGTGTGAGCGCACGAATGCGTACATGCTAGGAGTGGTACGCGGTGGATGGTGGTGAGTCGATGAGCTTGGTACAAGGTATTAGGGCCGTCAACGGTGCTCACCGTAGTCGGGTTTATTTTCCGCATTTTGACATCGCGACGCGTCGCATCGTACAAACATTTTCCATCCCGTTTGTGTCGTGGAAATCGTTACTATCGTCTCGATATATCTGTGTGTTAAACGCGATAGATGACAGTTGATGCTAGACGATAGATGAAACTAGATAGACGATGAACCAAGTAGACGCGAGGTAGATGATGGATAGACGGCCGTAGAGACGGCAAGTTAATAGGAGATGATAGTCCTTGCGATACACAATAAACGCGATAGACGGTGGGCGGAACGATTGTGTGGTGATTTGCAATAGGCCATACACGATTTCACAGCGATTGATTTAGCAATATTTCGTGAATCCACACTAGCTTTAGTGCTATTTCTATCATTTCTCGCCTTTATAATTAAATTGTCTCTCGAACATTCGTGTTCATGATTGTGATCAATCTATCTTAATCTTTCACGATCTTGCTGTTGCTAGATAAATCTCGTTGCAAAGTTGTAACAAAGATCGATCATCGTGGCCTAACCTTGAAGGCGTTGACTCGCCACGATTCGATCGCCTGACGAGAACGCATCTTGAGCTCTTTCTAACTGTTCAGCCGATTCTTTCAACATGGTCACTCCTCAAACTCCAGGTAAATGACTGTCAACTACATTATTAATATAAGTATGTCTGTCAAACAGGGACACAATGTCATTTTTAGCAACTACACACGCTGTTCTTTTTCTGAGCTAGCTTGTCGACATGTTGTAATATTAGCAAAATTTCCCATAGCTCTGATAAGCTCGAGTCTTTTATTACTGTATCTCGATAAATTAATAAATTTTATCACATAAACTACAAAGTTTTTCTTATATAGGAATAGACCCCTGGGTGATACAGCCTAGAGAAAGAATGAGATATCAAGAACAGTTTGATTCGTTGAAACCAAACAATGGGATTGTTACCGGAGAACAAGCTAAAGGATTCCTTCTTCGATCCCAACTTCAACCTGCTATTCTTGGACAGATATGGTAAGAATGTTATCGTGTACAAGGATTGCGTCTCTAATTACTTTGAATGTACAGAACTTTTTGTATCTGATGTGTCTTGAGCAAATTTCAAGAATTAATGGCAAATCACCTGTACTACACCAGATTAACGCTGCTACGTATAAAGTATCCAAGTACAATGGCATAAACCTAATGAAATAATAAACTGCTAAAATAATTCAGCGATATTGTCATTGGCTACTTAATCGTAAAAAATGTTTATATGGTTTTTTTTCAGGATGTACCGATGTGAACAATTGAATTAGCTGTAAGAGAAATACAACACAACTAATCCTTTGTATATATATATATTTATATATATATTGCAGGGCATTATCGGATACAGATGCGGATGGAAAAATGGATATAAATGAGTTCAGTATTGCGTGCAAGCTGATCAATTTGAAATTACGCGGTTTTGAAATTCCCAAAGCATTACCACCTATTCTTGTGCAAAGTTTGAAATCCTTCTCAACTGGTACGTGCATAGATACGTATACGCGTGTATCGAATACATGAGATTATATTTCAAGTGACATTTCAGTTGATACCAGTCTGACTGGATTGACAAATGGATCAGCTCCCTCGCCAAGCAATATTGGTTCTCTAGTGAATTTGAGTGGTCATCAAGCAATACCTCAAAGCACAGTATCCGGAGGTACATCACATCCTCTTATAGGTAATACATTATTTGATGTGTATTTTGTTTCAATACCATCATCATACTTTATATCTCTCGATCGACTTTGCAAACATGTTTCATTACACATCAACAGAGGATAATAATCGTAAACACCTTTTTTTCATAATTATTTTTGTGAAAACACACGCATATATATATATATATATATCGTTTCTCAAGTAAGATTTGCTACATTTGTTGGATTAGGTCAAACATATCAAACACGTAGACATAATATACCATTGGTATTCTTCGTATTATCGCAATGACATCTGCTATTGCCATAAATTTATTTCACTACGAAATATATCGATTATCAGATGTAAGTTTTATCCGTGTTACTCATAATACATCATACTACACAGCATTACAACAAAGTAGACAGAATATGGCTGCACACGCTACAACTCATATACCGTCAAAGCCACCTGCTCGACCTGTGCCACCTTCTGTGGGTATGTCAACTATATTGAATGTTTCGTGTGTGTATGTACTTCAATTTGTGTTCCTCTTTTCCCGAAGTCTATATCCGATGACTCAACGGAATGCTCCGAGTTAATTTAATTTTTTTCACAAAATCGCTTGAAATTTCGTCAAAATAATAAGGATATCTTATTGGAAAATTTTTTCTAACTTGAAAGCATAATTTTATAAAAACTTTGATACTATAACACTTTCCATGTTTCTATATATCTCACATTCTCGCGCTCGCTCGATCAATTGCATGAAATTAATTTTACAAAGTTGTTTCATCTCTTTTGGTAATCTCACACGCACACACACACACACACACACACAGAGTGGACACGTAAAAGAATATACGTGTGTTCCTTATATTTTTTTTGTATCAAACAACATATTTCAAGAGGAATCACTCCTTGTTGAACTTTTATATAAATAATAAGCTAAGAAACGAGAAAGAAAATATGAATATGTGCGCATCATTGCCTATATAATTGTCATATTAAAAACGTATCAGTTTGACATAAAATGAATTACTTGAGAAAACTGTAATGTTTTATATTGTGGTAGCTTTATGAAGTACGCAATTCACCTGTGTCTACTTGAAATCTTTTTTGCCTTATTAACAAGTATAGAAAGGCCTAGTAGAGTTGGTTACAAGTATACAAATTTTAATGAGTAACCATGTGATCAACAGAAACGTATTAAACACAAATGTATATTGCACATTATATTCATTCTAAGGTTCGAACATTTTCTTGAGATATTTCAACGTAGGAATAATCACAAGTGAATGAACCACATTGAAAGGTTATTCGTAAATCACAAAACAATTGTAATTACTAGAATTTTCACTTACCAAAGAGATAACATATTCTTATTTAACATTTCGTCGTACATACTTTATGCATTTCTCTTTATACGAATTGTCAATGCGGTTTTAATAATATCAGCATTTATTCATTTTTTACTTGTCGAATAATACTTAATTTTTTTCATGCCGATGAAGGAATCGCGTCTCCCCTGAGTACCGCCGCCGTCGGTGGTCCCCCGCAAAGGCCCGCACCACCCGCAAATATTGGTACGCGCTGATAAATCTTTATTATTATCACTCCAATGTTTATACTGCATGATTGATGCAACGTGCGTAAAATTTGATTAATATTTCACCTATTGTCTCTCGCGAAAGAAGATATAAAATTATATTTTATTAGGGAGTAACTTTACGTCTGCGACGAGTGGCCCGCCTCCAAAACCGGCACCACCTTCATTTCCAAATAGTCCTGTTGCAGCAGGTATTTCGCCGATAAAGGTCCCGTCATCCTCCGCCGGTGCGTCGTCAGCAGCCAGTTCTTCTGTGGTTCCGTCTGCTGCATCGGGTAAGAAAATTCGATATGCGCTTCGAGGATCAAACTATTTGATACTGCATATTTGATTCGAAACGCTGGCTATATATGCTTCGTATATAATTAATGTACAATTGGGATTTCTTTACTAAGGTATTCCAACGGTAGCGTCGATCGTTCCTTTCGACACAAATCCCATGCCAATGACTGCCTTTAATATGACACAAGCATTGCCAACACAACCACTATGTACCGCAGTTGCTTCTATGACCGGAATTCACACCGTTGTACCACCACCACCACCACCAATTGGATCGATAAATACCGGTACATACTAAACTGCGAAACAACGTTTTGTGAGTTTACTTGCATCAATTACAACTCGTCAATTCGATTGCCAACAAATTTGATGTTCTTTATCAGGTACTGGAGTTGCTACCTCGGCATTAGCGTCCTCGACAAACGGTACAACAGCAGCACTAGTCAATGGCGCTATTACGCAAACGCCGGTATCTACAAATACTCCGCTAAGCACAACAGCACGTCCACCAAGTATAGATAGAGTAGGCTCAATGGATTCACAGCATAGCTCAGTCAGTTCCCCACAGTCTGCAGAATGGGCGGTACCACATCAAACTAAACTAAAGTATACTCAGTTATTTAATACTTGGGACAGAACTAGGTCTGGCTTTCTATCCGGACCTCAAGCAAGGAACATCATGGTGCAATCGCAATTACCACAGCCTATACTCGCTCAAATATGGTATGAGTCATTATTACATCATCTTGATGGAATGGAGAACGTTCCTATCATCTTCTTCCATACTCTCGAATGTATGTTGACAGGGCTCTGGCTGATATGGATTCAGACGGACGTTTGGGTTCCGAGGAATTTGTTCTTGCGATGCATCTTTGTGATATCGCTAAAGCTGGTGAAAAAATACCTACGGCGCTTCCGCCAGAACTCATTCCACCCACATTTAGACGGCAGCGTCAAAGCAGTTTGTCCCAAAATGCGACAGAAAATATTGATCCGTTGGCAGGCATGCCACAGGTGCGTGAGTATAGATAATCGATTGATCGTGGAATTAATTTCTCGCGAGAAAAGAAAGAAACGATAAAAAACGCAAACTTTCCTAGACTTCATTCGAGGATAAGCGAAAGGAGAATTTTGAAAAGGGTCAAGCAGAATTAGAACGCAGGCGTAAAGCGTTGCTGGAGGTTCAACGGAAGGAACAAGAAGAGCGTGAACGAAAAGAAAGGGAAGAGGCCGAGAAACAAGAGAAAATAAGGCGAGTAAAATATAAATTTATCGCGAATAGGCAATTATTCTCAACTCGACGTTGAGACATGATCTGATCTTTGATACAGACTGGAACAGGAAAGACGAAGACAAGCGGAAATCGAGAAGCAGATGCTGAGACAAAAAGAAATTGAACAGGAGAAGGAGGAACAACGAAAACGCGCGCAAGAACAAAGAGAAGCGGCACGCAAGTAAATGTTTTTTTTTTTTTTTTTTTTTTTTTTTTTTTTTTTTTTTTTTTAACTAAATTCGCTGTTACAGTCACGAGTTTGTATATAAATTGATACGGTTTCTCTGAGATAGCATTGTTTTATGTGACATGTAGGGAAATGGAGAGACAACGACAATTAGAATGGGAACGACAAAAATCGCAAGAATTACAAGCGCAAAGACAAAAAGAACAAGACGTTCTTCTCAAGTTAAAAGCAAAGAATCAGACCTTGACCATTGAACTTGGAACACTGGTAAGCCACTCGGTGTAAGCCTACTGATTTATCGCCAGCAGCAAGAGGGAGGACGTGAATTGAAACATGTGTCTTTTCACAGAACGATAAGGTGAAAGAATTGTCACAGAAGATTTGTGATACTCGGGTAGGAGTATCAGGTGTTAAGACAACCATCGATGGCATGAGATCAACGAGAGATACACAATTGCAAGAAATGGCCGCTTTAAAAAATAAACTGCGGGAGCAAAACCAGAGATTGTTAGCATTGAGTCAAGAGAAAGCACGTATTGAAGCGAAAAATAAGATCAATTCGGCGCAAGATGCCGCTGGGCAGGAAGCTATTAAAATGGCATTCGACAATAAGCAAATTACTCTTAAGCAAATGAAGGATAAAATAGTGGATTTACAGCAACAGGTATGTAGTATCCGCTGAGAGAGAGAGAGAGAGAGAGAAACGCGTGCTGAGGCAAAATTTTCATTGACATCCAATTCCAATGAATATCTTGAAATCAATTTTTTTTCGTTTTCAACAGATTGATTCGAAAATGTCCGACATTGAAAATAATAATGCCCAACTTGAAGACATTAAGACACAAATGAAAAATCTAATAGCAGATTGTAAGCAGCTTTATGTGACTTTCGACGAAAAGAAGAAAAAGGTGCTCGAACTCAGGGCAAATAACGTCTCGTCTGCTGATTTTGCTACATCCGCGTGGGGTGACAATGCTTGGGACGATGCGCCCACTGTAGCCGGCAGCGGCGACGACGACACAGCTTGGCCTGTCAATGACGCTGCTTTGGCAACTGACTCCATGGATGAAACTGCTGTCAATGGTGTCACCAAATACAGAGCTCTTTACGAATTTGTGGCGCGAAATCAAGATGAAATTTCATTTCAACCTGGTGATATCATACTGGTAATTATCAAGATTTCGACGAAAAAATGTTGAGCGATTATAAAGAGATTGATTTAACACAGTGTAATACTATACGTATGTGTGTATTTCATCTATCTATCTATCTATGGTATAGGTACCACCTGTGCAAAACGCTGAACCAGGATGGATGGCGGGAGAAATACGCGGTCACACTGGTTGGTTTCCCGAATCTTACGTGGAGCCAGTGGATACTACCAATGGCGCTGGCGGACTGGCTGTCTCTGACAACGAACGGGCTTTCATACAGCAGGATAGTGTAGAGAAGAGAACATTAGAGTCAGTTTATATTTCGTATGCTGCTGCTGCGTCAAGAGTGTTTGTCTCTTGATCAAGTCGCTTGATATGATATTTTCGGAATTACACACAGGGGTATAGCGGAAGTTCCGGAGAATGTATCCGATGCAGGATCATTAGCGGGTGAAGCTCCGGTAGTGGAAGCTATTATACCTACTTTAGGATCAGGCACATCTTGTGATATACAAGCCGTTACCTTGTTTCAATACCGACCTACCACGGAACAACATCTTTGCTTTGAGAAAGGAGAGACCGTTCATGTTTCTGAACAGCAGGTATGCGCGCGGTATCCACGCATACACACGCGGAAACGTTTTTCATAAAACGCGCGAATGACAATACCAATTATACAGAATGAATGGTGGTACGGTGGTTCAACTAGTACTGGAAATAACGGTTGGTTCCCCAAATCGTACGTCAAAGAGACAAGCAGCAAAGATACCTCGGCTGATGGCCTTAATGAATATTACGTTGCACTTTATCGATACGCATCGGCGGAAGCCGGTGACCTTAATTTTAATCAGGGAGAAATTATATTGGTTACGAAAAAGGAAGGAGATTGGTGGACTGGTTGTATAGAGGAGAAAACTGGCATTTTTCCGTCTAATTATGTAGAAAAATACGACGCTCCTCACCAGGTATGACATCAGGAATATCTCTTATAATCGCCAGTTTTTTCAGCTGTTGATTCGATGTTGCAATTAATCGCCCACGTTCAGTCGATAGAAATATTTAGCACACTTATTTTCTTTGCTCCATTGAGAGCCCCTAATATGAATGTGTGCAATTAGGAAGGGACGTCTACTAACATTCACGAGTCCAGTGTTACAACCGCGGAAACAAGGAACGCAGATTATGAGAGTGCTGCCCCGCCGACAACTGCGGGATCTGTAGTACGTGTCCAAATAGCTGCTATTATTCATCTCTATTGACTTTTCTAGAGATCTGAATGCTAATTTGATTTTTCACGCGAAGCTTGTTTTATTAATGCCCTCTGAACGATAAGATTGTAGCAAATTGGAGAAACGTGTTAAGTGCATTAGCATGTATTTAACAGGTAGAGAAAACAGAGGAACAACTGGAAGATGAGAGAGCAGCAGCTGAGGATAGAGAAGAATTACCCGATTTTACCGCTATGGCTGCACAACAGGTAAAACGATATAATTATATCATTAATATCGCTCCGTGTCGTACAAGACGTATAATTGTGCTTATTATTTCTTTTATGCTACTCACACATCTCGTATTGCAGTATCACAAGGTATTTGATTTATATATTATTATACACACAAATTATGACTGTGTGATATTCATTAATGGCGTCTTTTTCACGCGTCTGGCTATATCTTTTTCAAATTGCGACAAAGTTTAACTATATATTGACTATAGGAAAATTTTTTAATATGTACTCACTGAAACATCTCCTCCTCCCTCCTCCTAGAGAGGAAGAAAACCAGAAATTGTTCAAGTTATCGCACCATATCAAGCAACTAGCGCGGAACAATTGGACTTGCAACGAGGACAATTAATAATGATTCGTAAAAAAACTGACAGTGGATGGTGGGAAGGAGAGCTTCAGGTAGAAAAATTTTTTGTTTTATCACTCGGTTGTGTAATAATTAAGACGATCCGTTTATATATAGGCACGCGGTAAAAAAAGACAGATTGGTTGGTTCCCAGCAACTTATGTAAAACCTTTGACCAGTAGTAGCAATAGAAGTACACCTGTCTCTCATGGATATCAAGATTCTCCAACGGATCCAAATATCGGTAAATATATTCCATTAATTTTTTTTTTTTTTATACATGATTATATTAGATTACAATTTGCAAGCCTATATGAGAGATAATTCTTATAGTCTATATCTATATAATAATATTGATTTCTTTTTGCTTGTAGAACGGGTTATGGCTCTGTATCCCTATCAAGCACAAAATGAGGACGAATTAAGTTTCGAAAAGGGCGACGTTATATCAGTACTTGGTAAAGAAGAGACTGCATGGTGGAGAGGCGAGTTAAATGGTGTATCTGGTGTCTTCCCGAGCAACTACGTGTCACCTATGTGTAAGTAATTTTTTTTTTTTTTTGTAAATTGCTCAAGTCGATCTAAGGATTATTTTATGTCTGCAAATGATTGTTATAAGCCATATAGTCCGGACACAGTTCGATTCGCTACATTATATTACTTTGTCCGCGAATTAACTGCGTGTGAGCGCGTGTTGATATTAGACAAATGTTTGGAAGAAAAAAGAATAGAGAAAGAGAGAATAATACAAAAAATATATATACATATAGATAGATGGAATGTACAAAAGTCTATCAGAAAAATGTGAAATATACAACTTCTGACTACGGATAGGCGGACGATTGTCAAGTGTAACAAAAGTCTCAGTTAAAACTACTATTTATATTACTTCTTTCTTATTATCGTCTCATTATTATTATCACGTTATTGTCATTATCATCATTGTTACATTTCGGTCTTACAACTTTTGTTGCTGTCTTTTTTTATGTTGCACTTTATCTTATACAGTTCTTAGTTATTTATTAATTCGTAAAATAAAGGAGAATAGAGTAAGTTTTATATATATATATATATATATATATATATACAGTCACGTAACTTTAGAAACCTAAATATATAAAAAATAAAGCAAAATGTTCCGGACAAACGTAGAGTTTAAAGGAGGGCGTAAGTTAGTGACGTCAACTTCATCGTATAGTCAATAATTATAGGTTATTTTAAAGTCAACTTTTTGTTTTTTAATAGAATCAGTTTTTTTCCGCCCAG